TTTTATATTTTAAAATTATTTTCATAATTCTTTCTTTAAAATAAATTTAAGGTATTAGAATCTGTTCTTATTGAACCCAAACACCAATTCAAAAAATAAAGCTTCTTTGCATTCAGAGTTTTTGCATTAAAATATAAAATACTAATTAAAGGTTAACATCTCATAGTTGGTTTTTATTATTCAGAGGATAATGACAATTTTGAGGAGGGAGTGGGGGAGACTTGTAAGTTTCCATTCTTCCAAAAACACTTTCTGAGTCACAGAAGTTTCTTTTGAAAAGCTCTCTTCCTGTGTTGAGAGGATGTGGAGAAACAGGAATGCTTTTATGCTGTTGGTGGGAGTGTAAATTAGTTCAATCATTGTGGAAGACAGCGTAGTGACTCCTCAAGGATGTAGAACCAGAAATACCATTTGACCCAGCAATCCCATTACTGGGTATAATATAAACCCAATATTGCTGGGAATTTATAAACCCAAAGGATTATAAATCATTCTGCTGTAAAGACACATGCACACAAATGTTCATTGCAGCACTATTCACAATAGCAAAGACTGGGAACCAACCCAAATGACCATCAATGATAAACTGGATAAAAAAAAGATGACACATATACACCACGGAATACTATGCAGCCATAAAAAAGGATGAGTTCATGTCCTTTGCAGGGACATGGATGAAACTAGAAACCATCATTCTCAGCAAACTAACACAAGAACAGAAAACCAAACACCACATATTCTCACTCATAGGTGGGAGTTGAGCAATGAGAACACATGGACACAGGGAGGGGAACATCACATACCGGGGCCTGTCAGGCGGTGGGGGGCTAGGGGAGGAATAGCATTAGGATAAATACCTAATGTAGATGATGGGTTAATGGGTGCAGCAAACCACCATGGTACATGTATACCTTTGTAAGAAACCTGCACATTGTGCACATGTATCCCAGAACTTAAAGTATAATAATAATATCAAAAAAGAAGAACTATCTTCCTGTTTTGAAAGCTGTAATTATGGAGCATCTTAACATAAAACTTTTCATCTTTAAGGATGTTTCCTACTTTTCAGGGAATTATTTCTATGAACCTCAATGCAGACTGCTCACCTGGACAACTAGAACAGTTTCTCTCTTAGGCTTCAGTTTTGTGATTGTTTTCTTCTAACTTTTTGTTTTCTTCCATATTACCAAGGTCCTTGTTTACATGTTTTGATGCAGTCCTGCAAGAGATTAAATAAACTTCATTACATTGACACATACATGTTCACCTTTTATATTTAAGATTTGAATTAATGAGTCTTTGAAAAGCAAATGTTTTACAGAAAACTGGTAGGCAAAAATTTTCACATCTGTGAGCCTTGACTGATAACGAAGCACATTCTAGTGAAATTAGCTTGGTGATGAGGTTGCAGTCAATGTATGCTAAGAGAAAAAAAGCAATTATTTTGAACAGACTGTACAACACCTTGATGCATCATGTTTTCAGCTAGGTTATTTTTCTCTCCACTTCCTTTGAAGTAACTCATCATTTGATAGTGTAAATTTTCATTCTAAGCAAATTTTCTGCAAAAAAAATTTCTTAGGACATTTCACTGAGGACTTTTCCCTTTGGTATTCCCTATAATGTATCCCAGTTGAGCCAACGCCCTATGTCTATCTTTATGGATTCTGTTTTACTGAATACATAAAAAACAAGATTATTGAGATCAAGTTTATGACAGAACATTGACAAGAGAAGCTACAGCAACTCTAACATGGCTAGTTCTCAAATTGTGGTCCCCAGACCAGCATTATCAGCATCCCCTGTGAACTTGAGAGAAATGCTAATTCTTGGGGACAGCAGAACTACAGAAACAGAAACAGAAACTGTGGGGATGGGACCTGTGATCTCTCTTAAACAACTCCTGGTGATTCCGCTGCTTGCCACAGTTTGAAAACCAATGCCTTAATGGCTACTTTGATTACACATGCCTAGACTCTATTCTTTAAGAAATAAAATCAGGTTTTCTTAATTACACAATTAAGGTTTTGTAGGTAACTAGGGGAAAGCAGAACAAATGGTAGCTGTATATCCAAGAGTGGATCACCCCCTTCTTCCCTTCCTCCCTTCCTTCCTTTCCTCCCAGCATCCAGGATAAAAGACAGCTGCAGACATTATATGCCCTTCCAGTCAATTCCTGCCCAAAAGCTGCTACAACCTGACTTCTCACATAACAGCTTTACCTGCAATGGTAATTTGTACGTAAATGGAATCATCTCACCTGTATTCATTTGTGTTTGCCTTTTATTTAAACTAAACCATAAGTTTGGGACATTCATATATAATGGCGCATATGATTATAGATTGTTCATTCTCTTTGGTCTATAGGGTGTCATAGGGTGAATAAAACAAAATTTATTTATTTATTTGACTGGTGATTGCTATTCTTGTTCTTTCTTTCTTTTGGAATTTCAATTTTATACATATCTCAGACATTGTGTGTGTGTCCACATGTTTCTTATGCTGTTTGTCGTGGCTATTCTTTTTCCTCTCAGTGCTTCAATCTGGGTGTTTTCTGTTGACGTGTATTCTAGTTTCCTTCTCCCGGGCTCTGCTGTGGCCCATCTGTGTTAGATTCATCCATTGAAAACTTAGTGTTTAATATAATGTCTTTCAGTTCCAAAATGTCAATTTTACCCTTAATCAAGTTGACATTTTGGAACTGAAAGATATAATTCTTTTTCTCTTTTCAATTATTGCTTTTCAATTCTCTATTCCTTTGATCTCTTTTGAGTATCTTTTCTTACACATTTTCTTCTATGTTATTTATAGTTATTTTCATTGCCTTATCTATTAATATTGAAACAATTACAATTTTCAAATAATTCAGTTGTTTGCTTCTCTTTTTCTCTTGATTGTTGGTTGTATTTTCTTGACTCTTTGCATATCTTGTCCTTTTTAATTTTGCTGACCCTATGAACAATAGATCTAGAGACTCCGCAGAACATTATTTTCTATCAGATATGGCTCCCCCTTTCCTTTGTTAGGCCAAGGGGCTGATTACCACAATTCTATCAGGTATTGACCTAAGTGGGAGCCCCACTGCAATTTTAGTAAAATTTGGTCTACCTTTGGCTTGCTCCTATTCTTAAAGCATGGTTCTTTCAGGCTTCTAATTGACATCCTAGAAAGTATCCCTTTCTTTAGCTCTAAAAATGCAGCGAAATCCAGCTTTTTCCTTCAAGCTCTTAGCTCAGTTCTCCATCAATTTCCCCCATGAAACACTGAGATGTGGGAAATCTCTAGTTTCGTTGACTTGACCATAAGGTCTTTGAGATAATAGCAATGTTATATTTATATTTTATCCATAGCACAGTGACTAGAACGTGGTAGGCATCCAAAAGATCATTATTCTACTAAGATGAACTGACATGATACTTTATGACTATCTCCTTCTACTGTTCCTTAACATATTAGTGCTCACCAATATGAAGTCCATACATACCCAGCTGCTTTTTTTGCAAGCAGGTAGACAGAATACCACATTGAAATGACAAACTTGAGTGATTCTTAATCCAACCTTTCCAGATAGTTCTGCACAGAATCATACGCACAAACAAGTCTTTAATTATTCTAATATCTACTAACTATATATTCTAATAAGTATAATGTCTATAACTGTAAGATATTGTGGCAATTTTAAGAAGCCACATAGTCCACAAAATCCCTGCTCTCTTCTGTTTTCTTCCCCTTGTCTTCTGTCACCTACCCCTCTAATTTTTTCTCCTTTCCATTCCTCCTTTCTTTTTCTCTCTACTTCTTCTTTTGCTTCCTCTTTTTGTCTGTTTTTTTTTTTTTTTAAATCCACTTCATTATCTGCTACTCCTTTTATCTAAAAGAAGAATTATAACTTGTTTGGAGCAACTAGAGAGTGATAGATAAAAAGTCAACATTCAGTAGGTAAATCCTAGTATTTTATAGGATTTTAAAAATCAACAGTGTAATACATTATGACAGTGACTACTGAAATGTAAATTGCGATTTTAATTTTTTTCAACTTGTCTTGACCTATATGGTAAGAATAAAGCCATATTCTCGCTGAGTGTGCAAATGATTTCACAACCTTGAAATAAAGCATGGACTACAAGGAATTTTGTTTTGAGTAATACTGAGAAAAAAAAACCCAAATTGTATTTTGTTAGCGCTTATATTTATAACAATGATAAACCCTCAGAAAAGTACACAATGAACTATTTGACTGTTTGAGAGTGATAAAAATAAAGTAGAAATTGAGAGAAAATTTTCATGGCTTTTCCTCTGAGGGCACTTCTCAGCTTGGGAGGCATGGACTAAGTAGAACAAAAGCTGGAAATCAAGGGGAGAAAAGTCTTAGACAGGAGACAGTCACAGTGTGGCAAGAATTCCAAATTTGTGTACACACTATGGTAAGCTCCTTGGATGACTCCCTGAACAGCATGTGTGGGAGAAATTTTAAAAAGCTTAGTGGAAAGCAATATCAGAAGGCTTAGAAACCTGACAGATTTTTAGGTACTACCCGCACAGTTTGGAGTTGAACTTCACCAAGCCAGAAATGCTTAGCAAACACATCAGCCTTTGTACTGAAACCCCAGAAAAACCAAGAAAGACTATATGTCAGAACTTGACATTCAGGTTGTGTACAGTGGCTCATACCTATAATCTTAGCACTTTGGAAGGCCAAAGTGGGTGGATCACTTGAGTTCAGGAGTTCAAGACCAGCCTGGCCAACATGGTAAAACCCCTTCTCTATTAAAAATACAAAATTGGCCAGGCACATTAACGTGTACCTATAATCCCAGCTACTTAGGGCTCCGAAGCAGAAGAATTGCTTGAACTGGGAGATGGAGGTTGCAGTGAGCTATTATTGTGCCATTGCACTCCAGCCTAGGTGACAGAGTGAGACTCCCTCTCAAAAAAAAAAAAAAAAAGTACTAGACATGTATCCTAAGACAGACATGGAATACAAACTGTAAAATTAACCATCACAAGGGCAATGTGTGATGTAGAGCAATTAGCCAGGCAAACGCTTCCGCCTGGGCCTTGCTCCAGACCTGGGCGATCTCCTCCTTTGCCAGCTGCAGCTCCTCATTGGCGTGGGCCTTCAGGGCCTGGTACCTCTGGCCTGCCTGGGTGATCCTCGCCAGGTAATCCTCCACACACTTCTTGAGTGACTCTTCGTTCTTGCGGTAGCCCTCAATCACCTCCTGTTTCTCAAAGCGCTTGAAGAGGTCAGAGAAGGACTTCTCCATGGAGTTCAGATCCGCAGTCAGCTGGTCTTTTTCTTTTTTTTTTTTTTTTTAAGATGGGGTTTCACCATGATGGCCAGGCTGGTCTTGAACTCCTGACCTCAGGTGATCCACCCACCTCAGCCTCCCAAAGTGCTAGGATTACAGGCGTGAGCCACCACACCCGGCTAGCTGGTCTTTTTCTTTTAGAACTTTCTGGATGCCAGCTTTGGCAAGTTCCTTCTGTTTCTGAGCCTCCTCCATGACCTGGCATGTGACCTCCTCGAACCTGTCCATGATCATCCCCAGCTCTAGGTGCTTCCTGTGGAGCTCTTCGCACCTGCCCCTCAGCTCCTCACACCTGCCCCTCAGCTCCTCGTTCTCCTCCTGCGTCACCTTTACCGCCGCGTCCAGGTCCTTCTGGCTGTACTGCGGCAGGTCTACTATAGGCCCGGTGGACAGTGGTGGGCCCCCAGGCGCGGGCCCCCAGGCGCGGGCACCCCTGGGGGTGGGTCTGGCACCAGAGCATCCAGTGCTCCCAAGAAATCCAACTCCACAAGCGCGGCTTCCCGCGGACTTCCTGACAGAGGCTCCTCCGCACCGTGCGTGCTGCTGGTCTCCGTGGCCACGGGCCCTGGTCTTTGAGGACTGTCCTTCAGGAGAGGTCGAACTTGAGGTATAAGGACTGCTTCCTCAAGGCCGATTCCTTAAACGAGGAAGCTCCAAACTTCTCCAGGTAATCCGCCTCCGCCCCTGTGCCTAGAACCTCAGCGGGGTCTCCGAAGCTCTTCTCTCTCAGCTCCTGCTGATGGGTGGGTTCTGGCTCAGTGTCCGGACAGCCTGTGGGAAGCGAGGTGCCAGCAGAGTTCGAGGCTCTCTCCTTGCTCTCTGCTCCTGGGGTCCCAGCTGCCAACGGCACCACAGGTGTGTCCTCTGCTGAGGCCGAAAGCAGCTGCTGGCTCAGATGGGAGCCCGGCTCCTCCGTGGGACTCCGCGGTTCAGCCCCCTGGCCTGGTCTTGGGGCTTTCGGGGGGCTGGGCCTCTCTGCAACCAGACTTGGTGCCACCTCCGAACGGGGTGAAGTCTGGGTACTTCATCTTCTCCCAGTCGAGGTGGAAAGAGCCGCGAGAAGCCAGCTCCGGGGGCTCGTCTCCTCCTCCACTCCCACCGACCTCTTCCAACACCGCGGGGCCTGCTGCTGCCCTGCCGCCACTCTCCTCAAGGGAGGCTTGAGGCCGGATCTCTCTCCCCGTCTTTTTGGTGGGGGTGCCCTTTTGCTGGTGGCGCCATCGGAGCAATCAAATTCAAGTTTTATGGGTCCAGTCCTCGAGGAGCTAGCCATCTGACCTGAAGCCGCTTCCTCCAGAGGACTCAGGGTCGGGGCTGTGCTCTCAGTAGCAGAGGTGTGCGCACAGGTAAGGGTCTGCGTGCCACCTGCTGGCATGGGGCCTCGCCAGGCAGACCCCCCAGGAGGTGCTCCTCCACGTGCTTCCTCAGGGATCACACCAGGAGGCCAAGTGGCCACTGCTGTGGGCGCAGAGACCCCGCCAGGCCTGCATTTCTCCTCGGCTCTGTGTGGAGGCTCCGCTCTATGCTGGGAATCTGTCCTGGGAGGGTCTTCTAGGGGCTCAGAGGTGGGTGTCATTCTCTTGTCTAAGGAATGAGAACTAACGTTTTCCTCCAAGGCTTGCTCAGGGCTGCCAGACAGTTTTCCTGGAGACACCATTTGGTTTTCAGAACTTCCTGGGCTCTGGGGAGAGCTTGAGCAGTCCAGGTCAGCCAGGGCGCCCGTGCCAGGCTCGCCGGAGCTGCCACTCCCAAAGGTTGGGCCTGCATCCTCCAGAGGGTCGGTGTCAGACTCCACTGGTTTCTGGATAATTCCATGAGTAGTTTTGGCATCCACTGCCTTGATAAGCTGTTGGTTCTCCTTCTGTGTCCATCCCGGGTGAGAGTTTTCCAGTTCCAGGGTGCCACCCTGAGCCAAAGGAGCCTCGAGTTTGCTGGCTATGCTAGGACTTAGAATCCTGTGCGTCTGCGGATCCAGAAGAGGTGTCTGAAAAGTCACCTTCATAGCTTTGGCCAGGTTCTTGGGTGGCACATTTTCTTTCTGTGACTCACAGGGAGCAGACGATCTTCTGGTAACTTCCAGTGGCGAAAACAGGAAGTCGCAGTTTTCTGTACTTTTTTCACCGCTGATATTTTTGTTAAGACCTGCAGACTCATTCTGGTGATGGTGGACACCTGGGAGGCTGTGATTTGAAGAGCAAAGTTGGGGAGGGTCCTGGAGAAGAAGGAGGGGGCAGCCGGGGCAAGTCGGTGCTGTGGCTTGAGAAGCCCACTGTGGTGCTCTGTGTGGGTGGGGAGGGAAGCAAGGAAACCACAGGCTTCTGCAGCCCGAGGCGGAGAGGCCAGACCAGACCCGAGCCCGGCCCCTGGCGCAAATGGGACTTCCAGACGACGCTTAGGTTTTTGGCCTGAACAACTGGGGACAGGGCAGGGGAAGGGGTGCTGGATCGCTGGGGGACCCGCAAGCCTGGAACTCAGGGAGAAAGTGACTCAGAGGAAGCCTTTCCACGGCCTGGAGGAGCGCGGGAGAGCAGCAGGCCCAGCCTTGATCAGGCGGGGCTTTTACTGACTATGGAGCCACTGGGGGTGGGGGGCCCTGGGCAGACAAGGGACCAGCCCCAGGCTGGTGCTTTCATTTTACCCCAGAGCACAGAGGGCTGCGGCGCGGAGGAGGAGGCAGCGGGGCTGCGGCTGCGGGGAAGTGGTCGGTCCCCTGCTGAAATTTTTTACAAATTTTCAAAAGCAGTGAAAAATAATATCCAATGACTTCTTTTTTTCTCCAGAGATGGGGTCTTGCTATGTTGCCCAGGCTGGAGTGCAGTGGTACAATTATAGCTCACTGCAGCCTTGGACTCTTGGACTCTTATTTTTTTTCTTTCCAGACAGAGTCTTGCTCTGTGGCCAGGCTGGAGTGCAGTGATGCAATCTTGGCTCACTGCAACCTCTGCCTCCCAGGTTCAAGCGATTCCCATGTTTCAGCCTCCTGCATAGCTGGGATCACAGGCGTGTGGCACCATGCCCAGCTACGTTCTGTATTTTTAGCAGGGACAGGTTTTTGCCATGTTGGGCAGGCTTGTTTCAAACTCCTGGCATCAAGCAATCTGCCCGCCTCAGACTCCCAAAGTGGTGGGATTACAAATGTGATCCACCTGCCCGGCTGATAAGCTTGTGTAGCTAGGACTACAGGTGTGCGTTATCACACCTGGCCAAAATCCAATGACTCCTCATTAAAAACAAGACAAGCCAGAAGGCAATGGGACATCTGTAAGGTGCTCAATATTCTAATAAGAAGTATCAACGTAGAAGTCTGTACCCATGAAAATATCAAACAAAATTAAAAATGAAATAAGAATATTATCATAAAAACAAAATCTCTGACAATTTATTGGTGGTAGACATGCATTCCCAGTAATGTTAAAGGAGGTTTTTCAGAATGAAACTGATATCAGACAAAAGCTCAGATTTATTAAAAATAAGTAGAGTGCTGGAAGGAGTAAATAAATAGATACAAAAGAAAGTTTTCTCAAAGTTTTTAACTTTTAAAACAGATAATAGACTCCAGAGCATAAAATAATGGCTGCTTGTGAGGCTTAGTACTTAGAAGTAAGATAAATAACAGCAATAGTAAAAAATGCTTGAAGGGGAAATGGAAGTGTATGCTTATTGCCTTCTAATATTACACGTGAAGTGAATTTGTATAATTTAAAAAAAGTCAGTAGGGGTGAGAAGATTTAAACAAACTATTATTTGCTTTAACCTAATTGACAATTACAGAACACTAAACCCAAAAACCCCCAACAAGTTTTTTTTTCAAGTGTCTATGGAGTATTCACAAGGAAAAACTGCATACTAGGTCAAAAAATAAATCTCAATGTACTTCCAAAGACTAAAAGATTATGTAGTAGGTTGTACTGACAAAAAAGAATTAAATGAGAAATATTTGGAATTTAATGCAGGTCTGGTCACTGGACTTCAAGGAAGAAACCACAGGGAAACATAAAGTGAATGAATGAGAAAGCGCAACATGCCAATGTTTGTGGAATACAGGTAAGAGTGCTGAGAAGAATTTATAATTTCAATGCTTGTCTTAGAAGAAAGGCTAATATTAAGAATCAAAATTTTTATTTCAAGAAATTAGAGAAAGAGGAAGTGAAATTCTAAATAAGAAAAAAGTAATGATAAGAGCAAAATAATAATATGCACTAGCAATAAAAAGCAAAGCAAAAAGTTATTCAAGGTCATTATGAAAATTGATAACACCCTATAAAGACTGAGAAATATAAAAGAAAAAAATAAATTAGCAATATTAGAAAACAAAAAAGTGTTATCACTATAGAACTTAAATGCATAAAAAGGATAAAGGAATTAGAACTTATATGCATAAAAAGGATAAAAGAATTCTGCAGACTTTTTTTTGCAAACATGTCAATAATTTAAATGAAATGAATAAATTCTTGAGCTACCTCCCAAAATTTATTCAGAAAGAAGCAACTCTGTATCTATAAATTGAAATTATACATTTTGTTTTGAAGCAAGTTCTCATGAAGAAAACTAAAGGTCCAGTTAGTTTCATTATTGAATTCTATCAAACATTTACTGAATTAACCAATTCAGAAAAAGAAAACGATGGGACTCTTTTATCAATCCATTTTATAAGATCCACATTACTGTAGTACCAAAACTTGATGGTGATGTTATAGGATAAGAAAATTACAGATCAATATTCCTTGTGAACATAAACAAAATAATTATTCATAAAATGTTAGTAAATAGTATCCATCAATATGTAAAAATTATGATAGATCATAATAGACTGAGATATATTTCAAGAATGCATGACTGGCTCACCATTCAACAATCAATGAATGTAATTTACCATATTATCAGGGTAAACAACATGATTTTTTAAATAGATATGAAAAGAACATTTGAGAAAATTCAACAATGATTTGTGAAGAACTACTGGTAATCTAGGAATATTAAAGAAGTCATTTAACCTGATAAAGGAGACTTTGTAGTAAAGAATTTGGCTTCGTCTAAAGAGAGATCTGAACTTTGTTTTCAGTTTCTGGGAGGCCACATCTTAACAGTTGGAATTTTCTGAGCTATACAGGTTTTCTTATGTATGTTGATCCCTTAAATTACACCTGATAGTTTATGCTAGTGAGATGTCTCAGGACAGGGCCTTCTACTCATTAGTCTTAGGGTGAGGTATAATGACACCAGAAAGACCAACCATAGTTGAAGGAGGGAACTTTGAGCTATGTGATATCGGTCTAACCTCAGGTGGAGACAGGCTGGAGGTTAAGTTCAGCCAATTAATCGTGCTTATGCAATAATGCCTAGTAAAAACTCTGGACACTGAAGTTTGGATGAGCCTTTCAGGTTGGCCATACTCCATGCTTTTGTCACACATCAATGCTGGTAGAATAATGTATCCCTGAGGACTGTGGAAACTTCACATTTGGAATCTTCTTAGACTCTGCCCTATTTATTCTTCCCTTGGCTGATTTTTAATGTCATATTTTCTTATAATAAATACAACAAGGAATATAATAGATTTTAGTAAGTTCTGTGAATCTTTCTAGTGAATTATCAAACCTGAGGACTGTTTTGCAAAACACTAAAACTTGTATTTGGTGTCAGAAGTAAGGGTGATTGTGTGTGTACTCTTCCCTCTTACTTTGTGTTTAGACCCTAACTCCTTGCATTTGGAATTCTTGGGCAGACTAGGTAATTTGGAAGACTATACCCTTAACTCTGAGTTTGACTAACTCTGGGTAGGGATATATAGCTAACATCATACATAACTATAACTATTGAGCAATTTCCCTTCTAAGGTTGGGAACATGCAAAGGTACCCCTTCTGAGTATTTCTATTCAGCGTTATATTGGAGGTGCTTGAGTGCAAAAAAGCAAGCAAAAGAAATAAATGGTATACAGAATAGAAGGAAAGGAGTAAAATTATCTCCATTTGCAGATGTAATCATTGTTTACATAGGAATCCACAAAACAATCAATATAACTAACAAGGTAATTTAATAAGATGGTAGTATACATTTCAACATAAAAAATTAATCATATTTTCACATACTAGTAAGAAAAATTTGAAACATTACAAAATTAATTGTATTTATACTAGCTGCAAAATGTATAAGCATACAGTGATAAACTTTTAAGGATCTAAAAGTTTGTAAAAATGTCTACATTTAAAATTTGAAATATTACTAAGAAAAATTGAAAAGAGCCAAGTAAATGAAGAGAATATGATCATGGATTTGAAAACCAAATATTAGTAAGTTGTCAAATCTACCCAAATTCATTTGTACATTAAAAGCAATGCTAATTCCACAAAATTTGTTTTGTGTCATAGAAATTAGCAAGTTGCTAAAATTTATGTGAAAATACAAAGAAATAAGATCTCTAAAACAACCAGAAGATCATCACAGTTGAAAGTCTCACACTATTATGGTAAATTAAGTTTTGACAAATGTGTTAAGGCTGAAAGAAAGTCCTTTTAACAAAGTGCTGGAATGGCTTGATACATAGATATAGCAAAAGCAAAAACCAAACAAAATCCCACCTTTATCTCACACTAGACACAAAATTTTAAATAGATCATGCCCTTAAATGTAAAAGTTTAAAAGTTTCTAGGGAATAACATAGGAAAATACCTTTGCCAATTTGGAATAAGCAAAGATTTCATATAGTAGACAAAATGGGCACTAACATTATAGGAAAAATTGATATGCTGTTCTTCATCAAAAGGAATCATTTCTGCTTATCAAAAGGCAGTATTAAGAATGGGAAAATCAGGCTACAGACTAGGAAAAATGTTCCCAATATATCTATGTTAAAGGATTTTAATACAAAATATGTTAAGAACTCTTACTAATCAATTACAAAAAGACAAATACCAATAAAATCGTAGACACAAGATTTGAATAGTCACTTCAAAAGGAAGATATAAGATAGCCAATACATTTATGGAACTTAAAATTTTTAGATCTCAAGGAAATGCAAGTTAAAACCAAAACTAGTTATTAATTCACACCTCCTAGAATGGCTAAAATTCAAAAGAATAATACCAGATTTAGGCAAGGATGCAAAGGAACTAAAACTCTTACGGACGACTGGTGGGAGTTGTAAGCAGGATGACTATTTTGGAAATCTGCATGGCAGTTTCTCATAAACAAATGTCTCCTGGAAGATCAGGCAATTCCACTCTTAGGTCCTTACCCAAGAGAATAGCAACATATGGCCACAAAACACATTTTTATAAAAATGTTTTATTTTAGCCATACTATTCAGAATAGCCCCAACTGGAAACTATCCAAGTGTCCAAGAAGAGAATGCATTTTAAAGATGTGGTATATTCTAATGGTTAAATACTATTAGCAATATATATTTTTAAAAAGCCACTAATATATGAATAAATCTCAAAAACATGTTAAGTGAAAGAAGCACAATATAAAAGAGTACATTCTCTCCAATTCCATTTGTATGAATTTCAAGATTAGGCAAACAACCTCTGGTCATAACAATTAGCACAGTGGTTTCCTAAGAAGACAGGGATGACGGGGCTGGAGAGGAAAGAAGTCTAAGGGAACTTTCTAGGGTGATGTAATGCTCTATGTCTTGACTGGAGTAGTAGTCACTGCTATAAACTGAATGTTTGTGCCCCCCTGAAATTGATGATATGACCATCACATGATTAGATTGTAAAGGTGGAGCCCTTATGAATGAGATTAGTGCCCTCATAAAAGGGACTTTGGAGAGCTCTCT